CATTTTATTCAACAATGTCATTATAAAATGCATAAAAATATAAATACAATATACAAACTGTATATTTTTATAATTATCTTATGTTTCATTATTCTATCACCCAAACAAAATTAATATAAGAAAATTTTAATAAAATCTATTAACACTATTTTCTTCTTTTAGAGTATATTTATATATGTTCAATAATTTATAAATCATTATTTCATATAAATAGTTGTTTATTTCTTGACTAGTCAACTTTCCAATTTCTTAATTCTCACATTTTTTTCAATATCTGCTATTAAAATAATTAAAATAAAACATTGTAATAAGAAGTTAGTGAAAAAAAAGAAAAGAAATTCATTTACTGGTTTTTACAATAAGCGTAATAATTCGTTTGGTTATAGTTATCTTTATAATGCTCTACCTTATTTTTAATTCATTCTTAAATCTTTATTCCTGTTCTTCAATTTTATTTAATAAGTTTTTTTAGCTTCAATTTTTATGAGTTATATGATAGAGATACAATGAATAATTGCTTTATTTGATAACCAAACTGACTTGTTCAAACGAGTTAATGAAAGTACATTGATTTATTATTATATCCATTTATATTAACCAGAAAAATTCACATAAAAAACTAAGAGTCTCACAACAAATAATATATTGTTTTATGAAAATAATAATTTTTAATTCCATTAAAACTATTTTTGCGTATCTTTGATATAAACAAATAAGTAACAAAAAAATATTTATTTATACCTTCATTTGGCATAAACACTAGAAATAGTTAATAGTAGAACAAAATAAATAGATTAGGACAAAATATCATTAAAAATATAAAAAGAATTATCTAAGATTTAATTCTGTTAATTAAAGGATTTTAAGTTATTAATATATTTAAATCATTTTATTTTATATGAATCTGATTCATAATAACTTTAGCCCAAAAATACAAACTAAAAGTAATTTCTCTCAAATAAAAAACTATAAAAAATACGTATCAAATTTTCTTTTTGAAAGAATAATAAAAATGAGATCTACATCTCTTATTTATTCAAAAAAAAAAAGCAAATGCCACGTTCACAAGATGAAAAAAACACTGAAATGTTAAGAAAAATGTCACAACTTCCTGGAAATAAAAGATGCATGGATTGCCAAGCAATTGGTCCTGTTTATGTAGTCATTGATTTTGGTACTTTTGTATGTCAAACATGTAGCGGTATTCATAGAGAGTTTGGTCATAGAGTCAAATCCATTTCTATGGCAACTTTTAAGCCAGAAGAAATAGCTAAAGTTAAAACAATCGGCAATGAAAATGCTAGAAGAATTTGGCTTGGTCGATGGACAACAGCTGATTACCCATTACCTGAAAGTGGAAATGAAAGAAGAATTAGAGAGTTTATGAAATTAAAGTACCAAGACAAAAAATGGTTTGACCAAGCTGCCTACAACCAAATTATGAATGGACAAACACCTCCCCCTGTCACTCATCATCCTGTTGTTCAAGACAATATACCTAATAACACTCAACCAATTCAACAACAACCACAACAAACCCACAATACTCACAACGCAGGCTTTTGGAAAGATGACGATAATGTTGGACCAATTAAATCATCCCAACAGCAACACAGCCAAAGCACCTTAAATATTCAAAATGAACAACCTAAAAAGAAAGTTGATTTCATGGCTCTATTTGACCAAGCTATGCAACAACCTGCTCCTTCTCAACAACCTCAAGTTCAACAACAAGCACCAATGGACCTATTTGCTCAACAACCAAATCCTTCTCAACAATATCCTGCTTTTAATATGCAACAGCAATACCCTATGTTTACTCAACAACCAACACAACCTATGAATTACCAACAACCAATGATGCAACAACAATACTCTATGTTTATTCAACAACCAACACAACCCATGGGTTATCAACAACCAGCTGCTTCTACTCTTATGCAACAACCAGCAACTACTACTCCTGTTCAACAACCAAAACCACAACCGAAGCCAGACGTTTTTGCTTCACTTGGATCTTATCATCCAAAAGCGAAAACAACACAACCTGAGCCTCAAGCAGCCCCTGCACCATCTGGAAGTGATGTCTTTGATTTTATCTAAAGGAGAAGACTTACTTTTTCTTTTACTTGTCTCATGGAAAATAGCTAAAAATTTATTGATTGGCTGTTTTTTGTTAGTCTGTTCTATTTTTACAACTCAACTTTTAGTTATAAAAATCACAAATTAATTGATAATAAATGATAACGACAATTATTGAATTAATATTAAGAGGATAAAACATAACTTTCTCTGATAACAAAAAAGAAATACATTAACAAAAGATAAGTATCATATCCATTGTTTAATGCTTTGTTTTAATAAGTTCCAACAATGTATGTTAAATAAATTAATTTAAGAATTAGAGAAGAAAAAAAACATTTCATAATTTGTTGGTTTTAAAACAAGTGCAACAATAAAATAAGTGAATTGGATTAGGAAGAAAAACAAAGTTGTCTTTTGGTTCAAGAACAACAAAAAGAAAAAGAGGCAAGTGTGGCAGATAAAGCTCTTACAATTTAAACAATCAGTATTTCCATAAAGATAATTCAAAAATGAGTTAAATAAAAAGAAATTTGTTGTATTGAACCTTATCAAAGGGAATAATGAATCACATCAAATCCAACACCAAAAGTCTAATATTTATGTATTTAATGGATATATTTATATTTTAGTTGTCTCTTAACAAACGTGAAGAAAAGAATCAAAAATTATTAAAGACTAATAATTTTATGTTTCATCAATCAAATAATTAGTTGAATGAAATAGATTTAATAAATAATAA